AAAAAAAAAAATTATAAGTTCAATAAATTCGAAACCGTTCAAGGTCTCACCGCCAAACTTCAACCAAACTAATGCTATAGTGGATGTCCTTGTTGGATACAGCAAGATGCTGTGAGAGCAACTTTCCACCGCGCTCGGGAAAAAGAAAACTACTGCAATAAATAGTGTAAGCAAGAAGGCAAGAGACTGCATTTAGAAATAATTAAGCGCGTGGTAGAATGATATAAAAATCTAGTCGGTTCATTCATTCTGTTTTTTATTATATACATACTGAGAAATACTCACCAAAAAGCTATGTCGTAAATTTTCGTACGCAAATTAGTTCTAGCCAATCAGAGGAGCGAACGATGTTTTTTCACGTGTGACAAAAATGATACGTCCAATCAGAGGCCACAGAGGTGTGTGAGTTTCGCGCCAAAATTCCCGCCTTTTATTGCAGCTTGCAGCGCCGCTTCGCACACATTCAACGTGAAAAGTTTTACTCAATGAGTTTTTCTCGCCAAAAAAGTGAAAAACATTTCGGAAATGGAGTGCAGTAGTTTCGTTTGTTTCACTGTCGATAAAGAAAACGGTAGAGAGCCGGCGAAACAACAGCGGAAAGGGGTAAACATAACGAGACGTAAGCTTTTGTTCTGCCTTTTGTTGTAGCGGCAAATTTTAGCATTTTTGAAAGATTTAAAATAAAAAGGCCGTCAAAATGATGAATGTCTCAGTATGTTTATAATAAACACAATACCACATGGAAAGTGCTTTGTACGGTATTTACGCACTCGTTTTTGTATCAGAAATCTTACTCGTTCGCTGCGCTTACTCGTTCGATTTCTGATACGTCAACAACTCGTGCGTAAATACCGTACGCCAGCACTTTCCATGAAGTATTCTCTATATATTAGATTATGTGTACAATCGTGTGTAGATAGTGTTTGCTATCCATAGTATAGTATATAGTTGCTGTCCATGCCATTGGTTACTTGAAATGCTGAAAAGAGTCTGGCACTGCCCTTTCTTATACCCTAAGAACATCAGACTTGCAAACAACAAACAATAGTCCAAAATGAAAGGAAGAAAGAAAAGAAAAGGAACGTCGTTAAACAACTCGCGTTCTCTTCGCGACGGCAAAAAAAATTCCTCAAGCCCATCGTTGTGATTTTGAAGTGTCCTGTGTGTGTTTTTATTTCATTGCGTGACCGCGATCGGGTTAACCGCCCACGCAGACGTTCCCAGGGGTTTGTCACGCGTTCCTGCCCCACGAAGGAATGCATGACGAACTTGTGGGAGGCTACGATCGAGTTTGATTGTTGAATTACAACAGATTCGTTCAGAGTACTGCATGCAGTTGACAGTGTGAACGTTAAACAAGAATTAGGATTTAAGAGTAAAGCAATTCTGTACCATGTAGACATTTCCGGACGTTTAATTGGCAAAGGAGTACTGACGTCACTGGATGGCAGTAACGGCCGGTCGATTCAGACGTTACTGAGGGAGTAAGCGACTCAAAGCAGACTAATGTCTGGAATTTAGGCTAAAACAGATCGGCACTCCCCCAGAGGCGATCTGCCAACCTCGTCCCCAGGGTCTTGTCGCTTTCCAATATGGCGTATTGGAAAGGGGACGGCAAGACCTCAGATAACAATAACCTCAACCAGGTTGTGGGGGATGCTCAGTCTTGCGGGCTCATAAAACCTGGTCTCGGTCATTCTTATTTAGGATTTTCCTGTGGACGATTTTTATTCACGAGTTGAGTAGTATCAGAAAACGAACGAGTGAGTTTTCTGATACGTATTATTAAACGAGTGAATAAAAATCGTACAAAGCATTTCCCATGCTGTAATTTGTTTATTTCATAGGTACTGAGAGTTTTTTCGTGTAATTTGTTAAAAAAAAATTGCGCAAATGGGACCACTATTTTTAAGTCCTTTAATTTTGAATTTTCCGCAGTTGACGGCCACTCAACTCGAATTTAGCCTAGTTTCTGCAGCAAATGTCATAATAACTGCTACTTGACGTCTTCACCCCTTCACATTTAGGGACGGACAATTAGAAAAGTTACATGGCGGGGTTGGGGAATTTTCGAGCCGCAGGAATTTTTTTTCGTTATCAAATTCCTTGTATGAATTTTCTTTACGCCATAGCATGAATATTTTTTAGGATTAATTGGCGTGCATGACTTTTTTTTCATTTAATTTTCCCTTGCACGAATATGTCTTTTGTACTTCCCCCCCCCCCCCCCCCCTTATTTTTTTTTTTGTTTGCCCACACCCTTTTTTTTCGTTCCGCCCCTCCTTGTTTTCCGCACAGCTTTGTTTAGCATCCGCTTCCACCCCTCTTTTCACTTGCGCTCCCCTAAAA